CGTTTGGTCTAAGAGAACAAGATGACTATTGAAGAAGAAGAGGAAGTCTAAGAAGAACATTAACTTATAAATATTGAGTCAATGTTCAGTGTGATATATAAGAGTCATTTGCTTAATGGCTCATATATCGCCCAAGACGTTAATGGGCATCAATCTAACAAATCGTCCTTTCACTAAAACTGGACTCCACCACTTCTTTAGAAGTTCCAATTCAAACCAGTGCTTATAACCTATGACCTTCTTAGTTATGTAGATGGTTCTTTCCCTTGTCACCCTCAATTCCAAGCCGATGCTATTGGGAATGCAGTGGTTTGACTGCTGGGATCCCAATCGGCCTGCATCGGCGGAAGACTCACGCATCCTGGGAGGGTACGACTTTAAGGGATGGACTCGATCGAACGGCCAACCACTTGAAATTTTGGTAGGAGATGAAATCCAAAAGACCATTATTAGCGTGTAGTAGATTGGCCCGAGTGCGTAATACGCCAGTCGAGAAGAAATCCCATCAATGGATACGGTAGAGGAACGAAAGTGGCTCTCCAGAGAGGAAAGCAGCTCGACCGGTAGGGGCCCGCTCGACCAAAGGGAGAGGGAGAGCGAGCAGGGCCATCGATTGACTGCCTCTCCCTATTGGTCTTCGCTTCATGTCCTGAATAAGCAATCGGAGAAGTCACTTAGAAGACGCAAGTGCCACCTTCGAGAAGTAAATTGGGATCAAAGATCTCAAAGATCATGTTCTAATATCATAGAAAGAAGAAAGATCACTACAATAGGTCTGACCTTACTTAGTGGCCCTTCTTTGATGAGCAAGCTGGGAATGATCAATCTCCATTCGCTTGGAGGAGTGTTAGCGTATGTGTGTCACTTATGTCTCATGTACTTGTACTAATTGTACTTGAGTTGTACTCTTTGATTTGTTCATTAGTCACGTCCAGTCGTATTGGCAAGGCTGGGGTACGCATGTTGTACATAACCGCAGCCATCTTCTATCAATACTGAAGTTGGGATTCATGAAAGGTATTATCTGTATTCTCCCAATTCTCTAGCTATCCTTCTGCTTTCTCTTGTGCTGGCCAGCCTTCTTAAGCTCTTTTTGAACTACCGTCTGACATTGCCTGCTGTGAAAGATCAAGAAATGGCTTTACCGGTGGGTGCTCCCTGTCCAACTGGTACTTTCCTTATGACTCCGACTGTGGTGAAGATCCCAACATGATCTACTCGGTCAAGTCTTATTAAAGCACTCCAACCAACCAAAAAAAACAAAGAACTCCTACTACTGGAATGAAATGAAATCGGCATAGAATTTAATTTCTGAGGTCTTCGGGTCGGGATCAAATTCGATTATAGAAAAAAGTTCTTGATATGGATTTGTCCCAGCCGCATATCCTTGAACTTCCTCTTCATGACAGAAAAGGAGAAGTCGCTTGACTCAGTTACGAGGTGAATGAGGGGCTACTTCATGAAAAGAGAAACCCGCCACTAGAGCAGAATAAGCCTGTGATACTCTATTTAAATTTGACGATACCAGCAAGTCTGTCTTCTCGGCTGACGTGACGGCTGAATGGATTGAAGTTTGTATTCATAAAAGGGAACAGGCCAATTCAAAGCGGCTTAGAAGCATCAAGGTAAAAACAGGGTTCAAGTCTCCCAGGTTAGTGTGTAGATAGAGGACTTATTTCACAAGGGGAAGCGTACCAACCAAGAAAAAAACAATCAGACAATACGAACATCGTGAGATGAGCCTCCAGCCAAAAAGGAAGGGCACTCACAAAAGGTCTTGCTGCGCGAGAATAAGGTCTGAGACAAGCAGTTCCTCGCCTGGGACAATCACTGACGATAGATAGCGAAGGGGGGTCCGAGTTCCAACTAGGACTAGGAGCGTCAAGCCAATCAAGTTCTAAGATCTAGTAGCGGACCCACGTCTACAATAGAATCCCGGCTCCGACGATGGTAAAGGTAAGGTATAATAAAGTCCCGAGTCAGGAAAGCGCAGTAGCACGATCACGAGAGCAGACAGATTTGGCACCAGCAACTTACTTTTGTACGAAAATGAAAACTCTTCCTTTTCCAGTCTTGAAGAAATTCAAAGCTGCCCTAGTGACATCAGGTCCTATAATATGCCTGCAGTGGTTAAAGAATTTCCCACCATCAGGCCCAGGGGCCTTGTCAGCATTGAAAGACTTAACAGCATCATGAATCTCCTATGCTGTGATCCTTCTATCCAGCTCAGTTCTTTGTTCAGTAGATAGCTTCCTGTTGAAAGTTGGAGGGAAAGCCCTTGACCCATGACTATCCTTACCAAGAATACCTGTTCAATAGTCCACTGCAAAAGCTTTGATCTCTGCCTCCCCCGACTTCTATTCTAAGCCATCACTGTCTTGAAGCTTCAGTATTGTTTTACCGGCTCTCCTCCCGGCGAATCTCGAATTTCTGTCACCATCAGATAACCATTTGACCCTTGCCTTCTCCCTCAACATAGCTTCCCTCCTGTTCAATAGAGTAGAAAAGTGAGATTTAGCACCACAGAGCTGAGAATAAACATCTGAATCCCAAACCGATATCCTAATAATGTAATCATAACATAATAGGTAGGATCACGTAGCTCCATATTTGAAGCTGCGGAAATCCTTATTGAATAAAAGAATCGTACGCACGAAGTTCGGCTGCTCTTTCTCTCTTCTATCCTTGTGGACGAGGGGGCCTAAAGCTAGCTAGAAAAATAGGGCGAAGGGCCTCTAAGCTATACTTTATTCTTTGGCAAGAGTTTTTTCCCAAAAAGCTATAGCAATAGAGCAGATGGACCCTAAGAGCTAGAGCCAAAGACGTTAAGAGAAGAAAGGGTGCCAGAAGCAAATTAAAAGATTTCGTTGAAATGGAAAGGTACGTTTTTACGTACAAATGGGAGTTCCCTATCTTTGAAGAGAAGGGGAGGTATGGACATTTAGTATATATAGAAGATAGGACCTACTACCTAGGGTACGGTGTTCGAACACAATTTCTATCTTTCTACCGGGATACACTTGTTCTGCGCAGTGCCACACCAACACGTGATGTGATAGGGCAAACAACGGCCAAGACCTGAAGGAGTGAGCATTCGACATAACATAACCAGATCTTTCTTCATATGGAAGTGCTGCGGGACTTTGAATGAGCTCTTTCATAATTGGAAAAAGCAAGGGTCCGTAGTGCGCCTAGGCATGTCAGCTTGTATACCAACGGCCGATCAATCAATTGGGGCTACCGTTAACTGCTGCCCCTCTTCTCGACGATCCCAAGTTCTTTTAGCCCCATCAATGGCTAGCTCTAGGAAATGATACGGAGAAGAGGAATGGTTGAAATGGACAATGGCTTGCGTAGATTCGCATGCTTCGGATGCTGGTCTTCTCCTAGAATGGTTGATCGTAACTGAGTGTTTAAGAGCTAGTGGATTCATTCTTTTCTTACTCCAAAATGTGAAAATGGAAATAAAATATGTAATAGAAAGAAGTTAGATCGGATGGTTTACAATCGGGGCCTTTACGCCCTGCCATAGTAGCTCGCAGAGCGGCATACAAAAAAAGAAATAGATAATCGACAGGCTGATCGGTAGATCAGGAAGTGGAGGCTTGCTACTAGGGCGGATCAGAAAGTGACACGACTTGTGTAGCGAGGTGCGAGAGCTACTCTTCTGATCCCTTTCTCCAACCCTCGGGAAGCAACAAAAATCCATGTTTGACCGATGAGCGAGCAATCAAAGAAGGAAGCGTGGTCCAGGTAATAGATCCGGGTTCATTAAGATCAAGGCTGCAGCTTCCCCTCTTCTAAAAGGCGGGTAGCGACTCTTTATTACTCAAATTCTTTCATGAAGTTAGCCGGGCATACTGAAAGCCCTCGCCCAGAGAAGAATGCAGGATATCGGACAGGAGGACTTCTCAAGTGGGGGTACGAATCAAGGTTTCCTGGTGCCTCGGTGACTGGAGTTGTTGGTCATGTAGGTTACTTTCTTCCAAGCGAATCTAAGGCTGAGGAGGTTCTTCCTCGGGGGAAAGACCAAGCCAGTTCAATCTGATCGTAAACTTGACTTGGAGAGAAGCGCTGGCCCCCGAAAGTGGGAGCTCGGAGAAAGGTTTTATGGCTCTACCATACCAGCAAAAAGAGCATTGAACCTTATAAATCGAGCTGCTTTACGCTCCTTCCCTAGCTGGACTTTTTTCTGATAGACCAGAAGATTCATTCTAATTTTGGTTTTATCCTTCCTTAAGAGACTCCGGACGCTCATTGTCCTAAGCCCCAGGCATCCGGTTACCTTTCTTCTCTTACGCAATTCCTGACTAGTCGTAGTTAGCCTAAGGACCGGAATAAGAGGTTTCGGCGGGGCTGCTAGGCTTCTTTCTCATGGGAGGGGTTCGCATCCAACTCTTCTCGAGACCCGGTCATTGGCAACATCTTCTAACTCGTTAAGCGCAATAGCCTATATAAGATAAGTCTGATCGTCTCCTACTTATAACTAAAGCCCCCTACTCTCCTACCGGCTTTTAACCTAACCGGGTGACGAGTCGGATCTCTAAAAAGACTGGCATGGGCCTCTACCCCTGTGTAGTCTCAGCCCGCCAATAAACCATTTTAATACCAGGAAAGATCAGATGCGCGGAATCGCAATTGGTTAAAGATCACTGAATTACCACTCCGTGGGCTATTGATAACTGAATACTTGTATGCCTCTATCAATGTAGTAACCCTCTTTCTATAATCTTAATGTGAAAGCAGAACTAGCGCTTAAATGGTCAAATCTTGGTCTCTGCCTATCGCCGGGACGTGTGATGCGGAGGCTTCCGTCCCAAGGACGGACTGGGAAGTTATTCCCCTTCAACTTGACCAGCTTAATCACCTAAAGCCTATGAATGAATCTCAACCGTATCCACGTCACATTCAAGGTCGATTAATTAAATTGGCTTATTTGAATGCTGAAAAACCGACTTTTCGATGCTTGAAGTATGGTGACACTAAACTAAAGCGTTCATAAAACGAAAAATTGATCTAGCCAAACGATCGTAGATTTTAGTTTTCGCGTACGCCCTAGTTAACTCACTTTCCTCCCTTTCTTTTTTATTGACTGGAAGGTGGAGGTCCCTGCTCGCATTAGCTGTGGATCTCTAATGGCTGGGCCTGTCCTAGACAAAATCGCTGGTCTCTAGTGCTGATGTGACTGTGCTTGACTTAGGCTTTGGCTCTGCTCTTGTGGGTTCTGGTCTTGCGTATCAGAAGTTGCCTCCTTTCGACTAAAGGAGCAAAGAAAAGACAAAAGATTCTTGCCTATAGAAAGAATGGGGTGACTGATGTACTTGCTTTGCCTTCAGCCTTGAAGCAACGAGAGGAAGAACTTATTCA